TAAGAATGATGGAATACATGATAATGCACGTAACTATACATAATATTAAACAATCATCAATGCAGATGTCATCGTTCGGGGGGCTGGTTGGTCCTTTTGGTACACCCACGCACTGCGAGGTGCCTGAGACTTCAGGGAGTAGGTCATGCCCTGGCCATCCACTGGTGAGCCCAGGATGTTCTCCAGCACGAAATAGACCTTCCGCAAGCGTTCTTCGTCCCAGACCAGGCTCTTCCCATGCTCCTCCAGGAAGACCAGGGCAGAGGTCCGTTCCACCTGGGCGAGCACCATGCATAACCAGAACAAGAATGGCTTCATGTAGGGCCAAAACATTTCGAGCCGCCCTGTCAGGGACCTGCCTCGTCCTTCTCCGTGAGGATGGTGAGCAAAAGTATGTCGAGCATCTGAAATTCAGACATGGATTCTGAGGGGCTGCGGCCTGAAACCACATACTTGAGTGCCTTCTCACTGGACCTCGGTGCAAAAACCATCTAAAAAGCCGAGACACCCGTTTCACGGCATTTTCAGAACCGGTTCTTTTGATCAGAAAAAGGAAAAACACGCGAGCCACACACTCCAAGGGGCTCATCATTCCAGCTGAAGGCGTAGCGGAGCATCTCATAGGTCCAATCCGACATGCCGACGGCGCTGCCGATGCGGGCGCTTCGACGAGCCGCCACATCGAGACCGGAACGCGTCGGCAGAGCACGGGCGAATGGAGGACTTCGACGGTCGGGTCGTGCCTTGGCGGTGGTTGGATGGTGGTACAGGTCTTTGGCTGGGCCAAGAGACCTTGATTTTGCAAGGCCGGGAGTGTGAGCTGGACAGTACCAGCCCCTTGAGGCGAAACAACAACGCTTGGGGTTCACCACGGTTCCTAGGGCTGTTTGATGTCACGCTGTTGGTGCATCGTTTGGAGATAAACAGCAGTACATGCCATGTGCAATCGTTGCCTGCTTCATGGTCTATTGAGTCAGGAAGCTTTCCGCATGTAACTTTGGCGGAGTCTTCCAAAGCTGAGAGCCACAATCGCAGATTTGTTGTTGACTTCTTGACAGGGTCACGAAAGGGTTGCGATATCAGATTTCAACTAACAACTTGCCACTGTTCATGACTAATAGCAAAAATGCTAAAAAGATCTAAAAAGAAACAGTATTTTCCTCCAGATCAACGGACATCTTTTAGGCCGCACCGGTCTTTGCAGAGCCTGTGGCCCGTCTCTCCACAGCGAAAGCCGCGCCGAGCTGTGTTTTCCTAGAAAAAAGCAAGGCTCATGAGATCTTGATGTCATGCCTTTGGACATGTGAGGGGCCCTTAAATGACTTTGGCGCCTAGATTTGCTCTACTTCAACATGCCGAACTCGTATGACAGCCAAGACCTGTTGACATTGTTTTTGACCCCGTTGAAATGGAATGGTGCGAAGCATCTACTGTGGTTGGCCTTTTTGGCGGCGCTCTGCTCTGCGCGCACTGCCAACCTGCTCTCAGCTTGCTCAGGACTGCACAGCCAACCTGGGCAAATCTGAGAACACCCCAATCTCAGAAGTGATGAACGGAACCCATGCTGGGCTGCTGAACATCTCAAAAGACTCAAAAGACCAGGACACAGGATCCAGAACAGGATTGGTAGGTAGGTTAAATCTTTTTTCAGCCTTTAATCTGGTGTGGTCCCTTTGAAAGAGCTTGCACTCTGCCTGATCAAGTGCTCCATGAAGACTTTCAGCGAGACATCATCGGTGATGACCACCTGTCGCTCAAACAGCAGGCTGGCAAGTTTGGTGGCCACACAACCTGTTTCGGTGGTCGACTTCAAGCTCCATTGGAGATAGAGGGAGAGGGAGAGAGAG